ATCAATCAGCTAGTTGAGGTTTTCACTTCGAGATGTGGAAAAGTGATTAAAAGAACTTAATATATCAAAAATTGTATAAGTGAATTCTCTAACTACTTTTTTCTTAGAAAGACTGACTTCTTTAAGGCTTTCTATAGATAATTGGGTTTACAACATAAAAAAGAAAAATAGAGTTGGCAGTGGTTATAAAACTATTAAACTATAAAATAATATAAATATTACATTGTCCATATTGGGAAGAAAGAAGAAAAAAATAAGATTGAAAGTCATATGTAAGATTATTACTTCCAAAAAGACTTGTTTCCTATTAATGAAGCTTAACAAATCCAATAATCAAGAAAATAGTCCTCATATTGTTAAGGTATTTGGTGACTGTTCAATAATTTAAAATCTTTAAAAATTTATTTATAGCTTGTATGTTAAAAAGTTTTATCTTGATTGTTTTGATATTATATGCATAAAAACACAAGAAGTAGGGAAATGTTTTTAAAAATATAAATATGATAGAGACTTATATTGATAACACCAATAGTAATAGTAATATTTAAACTAGGTTGTTAAGTAGTAGTCACCCATAATGATAAAAACAAATGAATTACCACAATTGTATCAAATAATTTGTGATAATGACAAAAAGGCCTTAAAAGCCATCACAATTCATAAAGCCATAGTAAGTGCTTAATAGCTTTTGAAAGAACATATGAGGAGTTAAAAGATTTAGTAATAGAAGAATTATGTATATGATAGAGACTTATATTAAATTGAAAAGAAATTAAAGAAATACTTATTACCCATAGAACATATTAAAAATTTGAGAATTGAATCCAATTATTTTGCCACAATCTTAACAACAACATAACATTACCAACAATCATCTAGATCATTGCTTGAATTTCATAATCACTCTCTACACTCAAAAAGAAAGAAATTGTCACTATAAAATAGAAAGTCAAAATCATAAATACCCAAAATTTTAAACAGGGATGAAAAATGATATAAAGATAAAAAAACGTAAAATTTAAGCCAAAAAATAAAAATCCAAATCAAAATGTCAATGCTTTGAAGGTAAAAACTAAAACCCAAAAAACTAATTTTGTATTTTAATTAAAAGTAAAGAATCATTGTGAAAAGGAATAGTCTACTTATTTAAAAATTATACAAAAAAAAAAAGTAAACTCTTAAATGTGATTACCTTTTAAAAGTTATTTCTACCAAATTTAATCCTACCATTTATAGAATAGGGATAAAAAACAAAGATACCCATCAACTGATTTACCTTAAAGAAGACCAAATAAGGTACAATAAAATAGAGTATTTCTCAAATAACTTAGGTAATTATTCAACTTCTACTTGCAAAATAATCGTTCTACTTGTAAAATAATTACAGCTTATTTGAGGAATACAATTTATTAAAACAAAAATTGAAGGATAAATAAATAGTAAAATAAGCTACAAAATAATTATGCTTTAGATTGTTTTGTACGTAAAAGCTGTAATTAAGGAAGAACTATGGTAGTTGCAATTGCAAACCTCAATAATCACTCTTTAGCACAACGTGGTGCAACATACATAATAGCTTGAAAGATTAGAGATGGAGAACTATTAGAAAATATAAGTTAATAATTAAAAAATACATATTTTTTCATTTAAAGCCTCAATACAAACTTTTTTCTTTTCATTTAAGTTCAATAAAACAAATACTACAATAAGGTCTCTGAGCATACCAAGTTTATATATTCGGCTTAGAAAGACTAAATTTGATTTTGTGACAAAATATAAATAAATAAATCTTACCAAAAGACAACAAAACTCAATCACATTGAACATACATTAATTAGATTGAAGGATTAATTAATCAAAACAAAACAAAAATTGAAGAATAAAAGTATTTTATAGTACTAAGACTTCAAGAGCTTTTTGTTAATAGAAAATACCTTAAACAAAAAAAAAAACACTAATTAAAATTTTTTAAAAAAAGCTTATGTAGAAAAAAAAAAAAGAACATACAGGCTCAAAATTAAAATTGAAGGTAAAAAAATTTTTCTAGGGAGCCATGAAGAGCAACAATGGAGTGAGAAACTGAAAGAGCAAAAGATTTAGACTTTTAACCAAACAAAAATAATAAAAACAAAAAAAATAAAACCCAACAACAGAAAATTACTACTTTAATGGTCCATAAAAGGAAAAATCAAAGGGAAAAATTAAAAAGAACCTTTTGAAAATCATATTTCTTAAAGTATTACTTCTGAATAATAGGGCTAAAGTAGAGACAAACGTTGTAAATCATATAAGAGGAATGCTTTGTCAAATTTAGCACCACGAAATCAAAGTTTAACCCCATAAGGTTGCATTTTTTGAACAAACAAAATCAAGAGATAAAAAAAAGAGAAAAAAATTGAAAGTAAAAAATTGGGATTTTAAAGGATTATATACCTTTCTTTTTTTTTTTTTTGAAAATTTAAGATGACTTAAGATAGAAACTAATCAACCATGAAAAAAATGCAAGTCAACTTAATAATTCATATGTGATTTATAGTGGAATTGAATTCGAAGATGCCATCTTTTTGTCGATTTTCCTGATTGATAAGATAGAGAGAAAACCAGGAGATGAAAAAGGAAACCAAAGAAACTTGGAACTTTGGTGATTACTTCTTTTCAAACAAAATAGACAAAAGAGAAGTTGATGGAGAAACTTTTTTCAAAACTAACATTTATTTTTATTTATTTTTTAGATTGCTTATTTATCTTCTCAATATATAATGGGATAACTTTTATAGCAAATATAGATTAATGATAGGAACTGATACTTATTAATGTCTACTTTTAGATTTAAAATTATTATTATCTAATAAACTTAATGGTTGGAACTGAAATCCATTTCTATTATGTAACCTTCAAATTTTAATCTTGATCGGTGATTTTTCTTAAGATTAATTATAAAAAAACAAAAAATAAATCAATTCAATGATTTCTTTTCTAGTCAATATTCTCTATTTGTCCATTTTAATTGTTGGCATTGGAGTACTATTTTAACACGGAGATACAAGGAGTACTTGAGATAAATTAATTGAAAGAATATAAATGTATATATATAATGGAGAGTGTTTCATGTATGAGACAACTTTGTTAAGGGAACTTATCTCATGTATCATTGGTTGGTGGAGTTTTTAAACAAGATCACCGGACAATATAATTTATAGGTAGGAAATCAAATGAAAGTCAAAAGCACGGTTTCTTCAACAAAAGCATAGGCTAGCCATAGTTATTAAAATCATACTATATTCAATACGTATCGCATACAATTCATTACAAAATCGATATGTATTTATACTGAAATTCAATGTTATCATAAACTGACACTTGGATATGCTTGTCATGAGTTTGAGTCAGGCCAAATTAAAATCTAATCAACCCAATTACTTAAAATTAATGCAATTTTAATAGTTTTTTTTGTCCAAAAATATATTCTATAAGCATTTGAAACTTAAATAATATGAAATTTTTAAAATTTTAGTTAGTAAACTAACATGAAAAATACAAAAATATTTTTACTTAAAAATACATATTATCAATAAGTGTGTTAAGAGTTTAAAAAATAGTCATATTTTTTTATTTATGCCATCTAATCAATTAATCCTATTAAATGTATATATGTTATTCATAATTAATTTTATTAACTTTTTTAGTTTATTATGATACAATATTTTCAAAAATAAAATTCGATTCATGATGCATATATTGGCTTAATAACTATGGGCATAACATTAGTTGATGATTGTGCACATCATTAGCTTTTTTGTTAGAAATTTTTTTAAAAAATTTATTTTTAGTTCTCATTGATATATTTATAAACATTTAGGCATAAAGCATCCATAAATCCATTCCTCGTTCTCCTTATCCCTTTCTTTTCAAACATTTTCTTTTGGTTCATAGTTCTTACTATGATACAATCTTTGTCATAAATTATATATTTTTTTGAAATTACTAATAATTAATAAAAAAAATTCAACCAATCAATTCAAATAGAATATGTCCACCTATTAATTTTGGGATATCCAATCCCATAAATATTTTTAAACTTGTACGTAAAACGCATTTTGATTGTTATTTCTAATTAATATCTTAATAGTTTTTATTTAGAGGAGTTAACGCTCTATAAAATATTACAATAATAAAAGATTAATTTTCTTGCCAGAAAATACAAACTCAAATTTAGTATAATTAATAATTACAATCTTCTACGTCATATATGAAATAGGTCATTAAATTAAAATTTGAATGGAAAAAAAAAAATGTTTTCTTTTTTTTGGTCTTAATCGGAAACTTATTTTTGAGCAATAAATATTCAAACAAAAATGCATTCATTGCTCCGGGCTGTATTTTTCCTCATTTTTCCATACATTGCTTTCTAATATGAAAATCTAAAGCCCTAGGCATTGGTAATACAAATAACAAAATTAACAAAGCTTAAAGAGAGAATTAATCAAATAGAAGTAAAATGAAAGTAAATTCGGTTTGGTTTACGTTTTTAATTTCTCAAAGAAAAATGCATTTTGATGCAAAAGCAAATAAAAGATTTTACCATTTCTTTAACATTATATAATAATTATATAAATTTTAATAACAAAACACACATTCAAGAAAAATATGTACCAATAAAAATTTTAATGAGGGTTGTACGTTGATTTTCATTAAAAGTAAATGTTTAACGAGGGTCACCAATAATCTTGGTTGAAAAATTTTTTTAGTAAAGGTTGTGCCTTAACTCTCACTAAATATTATTTTATTCCGAGAATTATATATAATCTTTATTAGTTTAATGTTATTTGTGAGTATTTAAAGTTGACATTCATTATTAATGTAAAATTTCATCATGCATATTTTAAAAAAAAAAAAAAAACACTAGAATTTTCTTCTTTTTGTCACAGTCCCCCAAAGTCATTCTACTCGTTGTCTTTTCATTTTCCCAGTCCAATCCCTTTCTTAAAATATATATATATATATATATATATCAAAATTAAGGTTTATAACAAAGAATATAGTAAGCAATCATGAGCATTTAAGATATGGAAGTTAAAAGGCCATTGGTGTCGGGGCAAAACCTAATCAACGGCAAGCAAGACGCCACCCATGCAGTGGCTTCTGGCATTTTCCAAATCAACATCGTCGTCTCCACCATCCAGTTAATCATCAATGCCATTGGGACTAGTTGGCACGCCTAAGCTCTGTGGAAAGTAGTGAGTTTTGCCCAATTTAATTGCTTCGATTGCAATTTTAATTGATACTGTGGTTTTAATTATTGAATTTGTTTGTCTTCTCTCTTTGAGTTGATCGATGAATTGGGTGCACCTCTACCAACACGATCATCCATTGGAGCATGGTTTTAATTATCGAATTTGTAAGCTTTCATTCTATATTTCCCCTTCAATTTGCAAATTTAAATCCTAAAATTGATGCTTTTAATTTTCGTACTTTTTTTTTTGTTTGTAGCTTCGTGGGAAGTTAATTTAATTGATACTTTTAAAGCCACATTCAATTGAGAAACCATTTGAGGTAATTTGATGTTTTTATCACTCTCGCCATTTTAGGCATAAGTGCGCAGATGCTTTGTGTTGTTAGTTTAGGTTCTAAATATGTATTCCTTTTTACAAGCACTTAATGAAACGAGAAGGAGAAACTCTCTCAATTTTGTCATGTCCAAGTGTGGTGACTATAAGCTAGAAAAGGTTTTATCTGTGCATTAGTTGAATGTTCATTGCTTTGGTTAAAAATTATAGTTAATTGAGCACACTTATTTCCAGACAGAAGATATTACTAGTCTTTATGATGCTCCCAACATCAGGCACATCCATTTGCTATTGATAGTATGTGGTTTGATTTCATTTTGAAATATAATTTAATATGTTCTTCCTAATTTTGACAATCAATGACTGGATATGTTCTTTTATTTTTTACTAGCTCTAGAAGACTCATGAGGCTATTTTCAAAGTGCTTAATCTTCAAATGGCAATGTACATGTCTTGATTTTATCTAATTTCTAAATTATATTTAAGCAATTAAAAAAGTAAATTAAAAGCATTTAAATGCATTTTGATTTTTTTTTTTTTTTTGTTCTTAGGTAAGAAAATTGTTGACATTTTTTAACTACATTTTAACAGAAAGGCTTTAGCTAGTGATGCAACAGCAAAATCTACTTTTATGAGTTAAGACAAAGAACATTACGGGTCATGGCATACTTGTTCTTCGCAACACCATGCTGCAGCATTGTTCATATCACTGACAATTGTATTATTACAGGTCTCTATGTCTTTTTCAGTTCTTTTCTTTCCAGTATTTTGGAGGATGAAGATTCAATTTGTTTAAGGGTTAGGATTTAGGAAGATGTAACCATGCTAGTACTTTTGTGCTCTGTGACTGTGAGGTGGTTTGGTTGATATAATTTGATTGAGATTCCTTTTTATTGGGAATGTCATTCAGTAAAGAGACGTTCTTTTGTTTTTCTGGCATTATAAACCAAGAATGTTTAGAAATGAATGCTGTGCAAATCTTGGAGTCATGCTTTTTAATATGTTATTCAATTGATATATTAGCTAGATTGTTGTACTATTAAAGATGATAATCTATGTTATAAACTTATAATGGCATTGATACATTTTTTAGTGCATGTGCATTATGTACATCACTTAACCATCTATGGTTTTGTAGTTGCTGACTCACTATTCTAGAAGAATAGAAGGCAGACACTGACAGTGCTGTTAGTATTGGTTGCAATTTACTACAACTTCATTGCTTCGGGTTCAACCGTTATTACCACACTTTCGAAGCTTCTCTCAGTGTTACTAATTTTCTTATTCATCCATGGTAGTTACCAACTAGAATGTTTGCATAGCAACCCACTTTTCTCTGTCAATATGTCAACCTATTTTTTCCTGATAGTCACAAAATCTTAAAAGGATAAATCTTATATTCCAATTATTATAATTGCCAAAATTTTGTAAATAGGTTTCTCTCTTAAAAGCATCTCAATAGTATTTACTTAAAAAGGAAAGATTGTCAGAATCTTGGTCTCGATGCTATAAAACGATGGATGCTTATGGATCATCTATATTGCTTGGTTTTATGTATTCTAGATTTTATTTATTGGTGAGAAGCCTAAAACAAGAAAAATTTCCTAATGCTGAGCACAATAGCTACTCGATATAAATATACTTTTCCGATGGTGCAAATTGGGATATACAGTAGAGAAAATTTTTGCATCAAATTTTCACTTATTAGAAGAGTAATCACGGAATGCTGTTATGTTGATAGCTTCATCCTGTAATGGTGTCATTAATGTTTTGAAATCTCTTTGAAAGGGGAACGATTGGATACTGTTCCTCAAGGTATTATTTTTCTCTAAGATTGCTTCTTATTTGTGTGCTTTAAAATATGTTAGAGGTCAATAGATATAGTACCCGAAACCTCTTATCCTTTTGAAAAGCAGTGTAAGGTTTGACTGAGACTGGGTTCTCAATTTTTTGTCTTGGAGATTAGTAAGTAGATCCATGATATGTTCAATTTGTTTAACATGAGATCATATGCCTAAACTCCTAACCCTTTCTTGTCTCTTCCATTTTTCCACCATTGCGCCTTAGGCCTATTATGTTCTATTACTATCAGATAAGTGTGCTTACTTATACATCTAAATGTTGTTCATTGGGACACTCTGATATGACAAATCATGGTGGCTGTAATCATTTTTTATAACTTTTGCTCTGGCAATGAAACGGGTTGTTTTCTTTCTGATGCTCCTTCGCTTTTTTGGAGCTATATCACTTCGGACAATTTTGGTCATAGGTTCTTTCTCTCTCTCTCTCTCTCTCTTACATACATACACTGGAAGAGATGCTTAGGCACCTGTAAAGAGATAACCCCATAGTACTTGATTGGCCACAATAGGCTGACCTCAGATATCAACAAAAGCTTCAATAGGTATCTGTATTAGAGAACATCAGACAGCAAATGTTTGATAATCTTTTCTTCCCTTGTAAATTATTCTTTGGTTTTAAAATTCTTCTGAACTAATATTATACTTGTAAGTGGTTGATGATGTTTTTATGTTATCATGCAGGTTAAAAGAATTATGTCCTCCGTTATGGTTCTTCTTATTGGATTTATTACTATTGAAACTTTTTACATTGTTTGATCATTCAATGTAAGTATAAGCTTGATTATACCTAAATTGTTAATCTACTAGATGTTAATTCTGATTTACAAGAGAACTCTGTGATTATTTTGGATGTGTACCTTGTGTTGCAATTATTTGGTGATTTGGTGCTTCACCTTGATCTTTAAGACTAAATCTTGTTAGGTCTTCTAATTCTTTGTGAAATACTGTAAATTTTTTTACCTTCTTTAGTTTAATTATTACTTATTTATTTGCTTAAACACATGTTTATTTGTAGTTACCTCAAAATTTCTAGCTTCGGAAGAAATTAGGTTGGAGGTAAGTAATTGCTTGAATAGTTTATTTAATATATTTCCATCATAAATAGGTGCTTATATATTGATGTTTTCCCCTTTTTCTTAATGTTCTTCGTGTGGACTAATTCCATTTAAATAGTGGTAAGAAGCACATTGCTATTTTCTCTTCTCCAAGTGCTATGGCAGGTTTTTATTGGTTTGACTTTGAAAATTGTGCTTGCTTTTGGATCCTTTAGTTGTATCCAACGATGTTTATTTCCTTTGTGAAAACATATTGCATCTGCTTTTTGTGTCTATGCTGGGGTTGGTTTTTTATATGGCATGTCTATTGCATATGTTTCCAATATTAGAACTGAAGAGTGTGTGAGTCCCTTGCTAGACCAAGGATAAAATAAAAAATTAGATATATTTCCAATTACACATTGCTAGAAATCATTTGTTTAATCTGTAATGTAAATTATAAAAGCAAAATGCTGTTGTTCTTTTAATTTTTAATTTTTAATTCACATTAGGTAAACCGGAAGAACTATCCAGAGTTCCAACTTAATACTTCATCCTTACCAAGTGATACATTTGCAGTACAATTTGTATTTCTGGGTATCAGTATTTTTACTATTTCATTGGACATAATTTTGACTTTTTGGAGCCCACAAGATCAAAGGAAGAAGGTTTGAAGTGAAGTGAAGCAAATAAAAAGCTAAAGGAGATAGTTAGATGACTTGGAAGACTCTAGAAGATGTGGCAACTTAGCTGGCATTTTTCAGCATTTTCATTGGCTGAACCACCGCACCTTTGGCCTATAAATACAAAGGTAGGCCGGCAATTTGGGAGACTTTTTAGAGATTTTTCCAGAATTTTCTTTTCTTTAATCTTCGTGCATTTATTTTCTTTCTTTCCAAACAGTTTCCTCTTTGTTCTTTTAAAAGGCTGTTCGAGAGAAAATTGCTGTTATTTTCTAGCACAAGTTACTTTTCTTGCCTTTATTTTTCATGCCTTTTAAGAATTTTTCAATAAAAATCCATATTCTTTAAAATTTCGAGTTCAATTTGTTATAATTTCTCTTAAATCTCAAATCTATTTGGCAATTTTTGTTTTTAACCTAATTGCGATTTTTCCATTGGATCTTAATCAATTTTTATGAGTTTTAATCCAATTTTTTTCTGTGGATTCTTGATTCTAGAACAGATCACATTCAAAATTTTTAATAAATTTCCAAAAATTCTTCAAAGTTTCGGTTATAACTAGAAGTTGAGTTGAAGCTTGAGTGAATAACAGCACTTGCAGACTTTTCTCCCCTAGCTGGTGTAAACACTGAATTTTTTTTGGAATATTTTATTAACATGATTGACTTAGGCCCATTGCAAATGTTGGTCGGAATCATTAATTTAGGATAATTATGTAAACCATTTAAAAACACAATTAGAAGCCTAAACAAAGCCCATTTGAAGCCCATAAGAAAGCTCACTTTAAAAGCCCATAAAATGCATTGATATTTAGGCTTATAATAAATAAAGGAAAAGGAGACCCGTAGATTGCTGTCAAATTTTTTTGCATAGGATTTATATGTAGACTACTTTTTCATGGGTATGCATGAGAAAAGAAGAATAAATGAAGTGAATAAGCGTCAAAGTCAACTTAAATTAAATTCGGTCAAACTTGGTTAATAAAGTAAAATTAGTCAAATAAAATCAAAATTACACAAAATTTGGTTAAAGCATATAGAACTCGGGTTAATTCTCAAAATTCACAACTTAATTAGAATCAATGTGGTTTAAAGTTAAAATTAATGATTTTTAAAACACTAAAAATATTTATTGCACTTGAGGAAATACAAAACTACTAAAATGCTTTTTAAGGGAATTTTTGTAATTTGACTTTCTTAAAGTTGATTTTTTTTTATGTAACTTTTCAGATTTCATTTTCATAATATTTCATGATTTTTTGTGCATTTAAAATCGTAATAATATCTCGGGAGATGTGAAATTACCAAAATGCCCTTTTATGAGTATTTTTGTAATTTGGTCTTTTTGAGCTCGGATTTTCATGAACTTTTTAAATTTTAATTTTATAATATTTTATGATTTTTGGTGTTTTAAAATTCAAAAAATGAGCATGGGAACATTGATTTTTAAGAAAATGGCCTAAATACCGAAAACTTTGTACTAAGGGTAAAATAGTCTTTTCATTTGGTTTAGGGGCTATAAAGATTCAACATTTGCAGTGAATAATGTGGACTAGTAGATCTTATATTAAATCTTGATCCAATGGCTAAAAATTGCTCTTTGAAAAAAAAAAAACTTTGGCCTTTGGATGAAATTTGATCCAAAGATATTCAATCTTTCAAAGATATTTTAGTGATTTTCTTCTTTACAAGAAAAAGGAGGGGGATTTTTTGAAAGAAAAAAGGGGTTTTTTGGAGGAGAAGACAAAAAAAGTAAAAAGAAATAGAGAAAAAATGAAAACGAAAGAAGAGGAAAAACCAGGATAAAAACAATAAGAAACAGAAACGAAAAGTAAATTTTTTTTTTCTTTTTCCTTGTTAACATGTAATGTATATCCTGCTTGATATATGCATCTAAAAAATATAAAATGGAGGTTGGTAGCCTCCAGGTCCCTTTTAAGTCATTGCTTATATGGTTTAAAGCTAGACCTTTGAGGAAACTTGCAAAAAGTTTAAGGCTTTGCATGCTCTTTGATTTACTCGCATGGTTTTATTTTGTGGGTAGGAAAAGCTTAAAGCTTTAAGTGTTTACTGCCTTCTTCGAAAAATGGTTCCTGCTTTCTCTAATGGCAACAGCATTTGAATCATTCCAAAAGGCTGTTTTACCTTAGTTTTTTTTCCCTTTAGATCCCTGCTTCTTTGTCATTCATGCCTTATCGTTGGTTAGTAAACAAATGGACCTGAAACCAGCTAGGGATGCCTGAACCGTACTGCTTTGTTTTTTATGGGTAGTCACGGTTTGAGCTCTCCCACAGAGTTTTTCCCAGGTGTTTTCCTTCCTTGTTTTCTAAAGAATTTCTCATTTTACTTCCATGTTTGTAGCTTACCTCTCATGAATCTTTAGAGGAAAAAAAAAACTTGTAAACTTCAAAGACATTTATCTGAGCACTGTTCATTCTCAAGCTACTGCCTTGCTAACGTTTCATTGCCTTTTTACTTTAATTTCTATTTAAATCTTCTTGAGTGTTCCTAATATATTATCCACCTGTCCATTATTTTTCATAATTAACTTTTGAAGAAATGTGTGCTTATATATCTAAATGTTGTTCATTGGGACACTCTGATATGACAAATTGTGGTGGCTGTAATCATTTTTTATAACTTTTGCTCTGGCAATGGAACGGGTTGTTTTCTCTCTGCTGTTCTTAGCTTTTTTGGAGCTATATCACTTTGGACAATTTTGGTCATAGGTTCTCTCTCTCTCTCTCTCACAAACACACATACACACACACACATTGGAAGAGATGCTTAGGCACCTATAAAGAGATAACCCCATAGTACACGATTGGCCACAATAGGCTGACCTCAGATACCAACAAAAGCTTCAATAGGTATCTGTATTAGAGAACATCAGACAGCAAATGTTTGATAATCTTTTCTTCCCTTGTAAATTATTCTTTGGTTTTAAAATTCTTCCGAACTAATATTATACTTGTAAGTGGTTGATTATGTTTTTATGTTATCATGCAGGTTAAAAGAATCATGTCCTCCTTTATGGTTCTTCTTATTGGACATATGACTATTGAAACTTTTTACATTGTTTGATCATCTCAATGTAAGTGTAAGCTTGATTATACGTAAATTGTTAATCTACTAGATGTTAATTGTGATTTACAAGAGAACTTTGTGATTATTTTGGATGTGTACCTTGTGTTGCAATTATTTGGTGATTTGGTGCTTCACCTTGATCTTTAAGACTAAATCTTGTTAAGTCTTCTAATGCTTTGTGAAATACTGTAAGTTTTTTTTTTTTTGCCTTATTTACTTTAGTTAGTCCTTATTTGCTTAAACACATGTTTATTTGTAGTTACCTTAAAATTTCTAGCTTTGGAAGAAATTAGGTTGGAGGTAAGTAATTGCTTGAATAGTTTATTTAATATATTTCCATCATATATAAGTGCTTATATATTGATGTTTTCCCCTTTTTCTTAATGTTTCGTGTGGACTAATTCCATTTGAATAGTGGTAAGAAGGACATTGCTATTTTCTCTTCTCCAAGTGCTATGGTAGGTTTTTATTGGTTTGACTTTGAAAATTGTGCTTGTTTTTGGATCCTTTAGTTGTATCCAACGATGTTTATTTCCCTTGTGAAAACATATTGCATCTGCTTTTTGTGTCCATGCAGGGGTTGGTTTTTTATATGGCATGTCTATTGCATATGTATTTCTGGGTATCAGTTTTTTGTACTATTTCTTCTAATTTTTGTTCAATTGGTTTTATGCAGAGGAATTATCATGAAATGTGGATACAAGGCCATTTTCCTAAATGTTGACACTCCTAGACTTAGTTGAAGGGAGGTAGACATAAAGAAAAAGCGACAGTGTATCCTTTTCTTCATTTTGTATCATTTTGACAAGTGGATGTAAGTGCTTTTGTATGCTGTGTATATGGCACAAATTGTTCGGAACTAGTATATCTTATGCTTATTTGGACTTACACAATAATTTTTCGAACAAGTGTTCTTTATTTATGTTTTGTTTGGAGTAAGAATTAGAAATATTAAAAATAGATATGTAATTATTAATGAATTAAATAAAAATAAATAAAATTTCTTTTGTTTCAGTAAATGATATAAAATTTCATAACGAGGGTTACAATCCTCAATAAAAAATAATTTTAAATGAGAGTCAATAGAAACTGTCATTAAAATAAAAATTTTAAGCGATGTTCAATAAAAGTCATAACTAAAACTAAAAATTACAATGAGAGTTAAAATTAAATTATATTATAGGTTTTACAATTGGTGAGGGTTAAAAGTAGCTTTCATTAAAACAACGAGTAAGGATTTTTTACTCCTTGCAAAATGAAAGATAGTGAGAGTTTAGTTTTATCTCTTATTATATATAATTACCAAGGAATTTATGGCTGAGAGTTTGTGAGGATTATAGTGAGCCTCATTTTTATTGGGGGTTGTGACCTTTACTCAAAGCTTATGTTGCTGTAGTGATATGATTTTACTTTTAGATAAATTGATGTTTTACACTCCCTCTATCTCATTTTTTTTATTTTTTATTTTCATGCATATGAAGAAGAAAGTTTTGATTTTTGCTTATTTAATATTTTAAATTCAAATTTTTTACAAATAAATTGATAAAACGATTTAAAATATAAAAATGATAAAAGCATTAAGTGTAAAAAAATCAAAAAAATTATTTCGAGATATATCAGAAAAAATATCAAAGAAAATTAGAGGGAATGAGTATTTGATATTAATTTTAAATATTGTTTGTTCATTTTAAATCAATTATAATATTATTTTTATCATACTTTTATTTTATAATAATTGTTAGAAGTAAAATATAAATAATAAATGAGGAACTTACCTGAGTTGACATGGTCATGGGCTTTAAGAACAGTGCAAAAAATCCATGTTTATCTTGTGCCAACAAAAATAATTCTAACTTTTGGGCCAAGTCTGAAAACTCTTTCCATTGTCAGTCTAACTATCTTTTATTTCAAGCGGGCCATATGGGATAGGATAAGTCATGTTTGCCATTTGACAAATATCTCTAAACTGATCAGACTTTGCAATGATATGGGGAAGCTTCATCATAAATCATATATATATATATATATATATATTGAATAAAATGAATGATGTGGAAAGGGGAGAGAACTGAAGAACAGACAAAAATCTTTGAGCTGCAACATCTGGGAATTGAGAGAGATGGTGAGAGAATGTAAACATGATGACATAGATGATGGATTATTTATCCAATAGCCGGGAAATGGAGAAATGTCATGGCACATCAATGCCAGCATCTGGAAAAATATGTATTAATGATGACAAATGACAACAACATTTAGAAAACTTCAATTTTTGTGACATCAGACAACTGTTAATTAATTGAAGCCTTCCGATGACTATATATATATATATATATATATATCAACAGAACAGTGAGCCAAAAGATTTTTGTGGATAGAAAGTTGAGTTGACGATTTTGAGGTAAAAAATTGCAATGGGTAGCCTAGGGGAGGAAGAGCTGGTTCGAATGGTGAGAGATTTCATTGAATCAGAAACACCCACTTCCTTTTCGCTCACAACTTCAACACCTCTTTCTCTCAATCATCGACACATTTTGCAGGTTAATTCCCTTTGTAGTTTCAAGTCTATAACATAAAACTGTTGTTTTATTTGTTTTCTGATTCTGCTTCTAGTAAACTTTCTTGAATTTTTTTTTTTAATTTCCAGGAAGTTCTAGGGAAACACACAGATGAGGAGGCTGAAATACATGAAAAGATATTAACGTATTTGAAAGATACGGGGCATCAGACAAACAATCAGAAGAAGTTGATAGTAATGAAACTGAGAAATGATGGTTATGAAGCTTCTCTTTGCAAAACTTCATGGGTCTGCACTTCTGGCCTTCACAAAGGTCTCTTTCTCTCTCTTATTGATCAGATGAAAAAAATTCTTACATTAATCCTTCATGAACACATATTGAATGGTTTTTGTTTCTTTGTTTTTTTTGGGTTTCAAGTCTTCCAATTTCCAGATGGGTATGAGTATATTGATGTAATGGTGGTGGAGAATGGTAGACAAAAACGGATAATAGTGGATATGGAATTCAGGTCTCAGTTTGAATTAGCAAGGCCAACCGTAAGCTACAAAGAGATGATAAAAAATCTTCCATTCATCTTTGTTGGTTCTGAAGAGAAGCTTAACAGGATCATCCCTTTACTTTGCTCAGCTGCTAAAACATCACTCAAAGAGAATGGTCTCCATGTTCCTCCATGGAGAAAACCTGCTTACATGCAGGCCAAATGGCTCTCTAAAAACTGCAAAAAGGTTTCAGTCTCACCACAAGACATTGACTTGGTTGAGGATCATCATCATAAAACTGAACAAAAAGGTAGTACCACATGCTTTCCTTCCATTTTCAGTAGAGGTCAACACCAACATTGTTTGTAGCCCAGAAGAGGGAAAAAAAAAAAAAAGCTACTATGTGCAAGGGTTTGTTCTCTGCCTTTTTTTTTTTTTTTGAACTTTTTGTACTTCTTTTCTTTCTGGGCAGATCAGCCTGTTTTTGATCATGGGGTATCAATATTTTATCCTCTCCAAAATGGGTTTTTTTTCCTTTTGTTGGAGCTCCAAAAATATAATTTAGGGTTTGTTAGACTAATGTTTTGATCATGTAAATGTATATTTTTTTTCTAGCTGGCTGAACAGCTAATTTCTTGTTTATATTTCTATCCACATTTTCCTTACTTTGGCTTTGAGTCAGCAATAATACACCACAATTGAGTGATGACAAGTGGTTACCACTTCAAATCAAAATTTAAGAAGTTTAGAAAATTTCAGGTTTGCTGTTATCACCCACTCTTTTTATAGGAAAAGAGGAGGAAAGTGAGGGAGAAATTAATCAGTCCAAGAAACTGTATCCTTTTCTTTTACAATTGTTTTCCATAACGTAAGTGTAACGTAATTTCATTAACTGATAAGAACGCCAACATGGAGATTACTCGGATAATTTAGTTTACCCACTTTTTCTTGTTTGCTTTACCTAATCATGGAAGTAAATGAAAACCAGTTATATAATTAAAATATGATAAAATCAATCAAATGATAAGGATATGGTTTGGATTGGAGTTTTTTTTGTTTTAATTTCAACATAATTTTCTTTTTGATAGTTAACGTACAGGTTCGTATATTATTGAATCATATGTTAAATTTTTTTTTTTTTAAGAAATTACTAATTCCCTCCAATGATTTTTTTCATTGAACTATTCTTTTCATCTCCTTCCTTCACGCCAAAAGCATTCATAATTTTATAATATATTATTATCAATTTACTCATGTATCTCAATGAATTTCATTAATATAATTATATTTTCGAGTAATGAAATATCAAACAGTCCATATCCAAAGGGATGGTTGAAGAAGGAAAATACAAAATTGATGATGAAATTGAGAATGAAAGAGCGTTTTGAAATAATATCATAATAAATGCGATTATAATATTAAAGGTTAAGTAAAAAGAATAGAAAATTGATAGGACATAGAGATACCTGGCTTTCAAGTACTTAAGAACACTCGGGAAGACAAGGATATATATCTGTACATAGTCAACCAACCCAAGACTTGGAGGTTCCTCATGAAAACGATGTGTTCCTCTCCATTTAGATTTTTAAACAACCATTAAACATTTTAATAATATGAACTTTGAAAATGAATGTTTAAGTTTCATAATAGTCAGATTATATACTTGACGTTATCTTAAAAAAAAGGATTGAATTTTAAGTATGGATTAGAATATTTTGATCAGCACATATATGCTTATAAAATAAATATTTTGGTAATGAGAAAACAAATCATTATGATTGTGAATCTTTGGATTGGGTTGCAGACTTTGACATTTGGGTATTAATGGAGATGGCAGTGGCTTGGTAGGTTTCCAAATTGTACTTTTTTGGTACTGAAAGTGCAGTGAGAATTGCACTTTCAGTCTTGTGCTTGCTTCTTACAATCAGACAGCTGCTGCTGCTGTTTAGGCGTTTCAACTTTCATCGTTCCGACATTCAAATGTGAGCGCAGCCCGAGGCTTTTACATTAAAACTCCGACCGCTTGATTTTTTTAATGTCAACTATTATATATTTTTTATATTTATATAATATAAAATATTAAAATTTATGTATTTATATTATATTTTATATAAAAATTATATATTATGATTTGTATTGATATAAAAATATAAAATATTTATTTTATTAAATTTATATATAATTATTATTATAATTTTAAATTATTTTATTTTCATATTGTATTTATATCGTGTTATAGTATCGTATTTTTAATTGTCAAATTTATTTTAAATTCAATTTACATTTTTTTGGTTTAATATTATATTTTATCTTTGTTAATTATTTAAAAAATTTTGATATAATTTTTACTTTTAAAATACTTTATGTAATACTAATATTACCTTTTCTTATATATAAATCTAATACTCAAAATTAACACTTTTAAATGAGGTAGATGATATATTATCGTCCACTCCCATAATAACACGTAATATATATTATTATGTCAACTAAAAAATCATAATTAAATAAATATGTGGTGTGCATGTTATGTATATTTAATCTAAAAATATGAAAAAGTTTTAAAATAAATTTTTATTTTTTTAAAAATAAAAAAATTAAATGAACAAAATTTAAAAGATAAATTTTATATTTTTAAAAATAAAGTACACATTTTATAAAAAAAAATTTAAATAAAAAACAATTAAAAAATATTTTTATTTTGAAAACTTTTAGAATGTTTTCCTTTATTTCTCAATATTTTGAATTTCATTATTTGAAATTTTAAAAATAAAATTCTAAATAATAACATTTTTGAAAAATAAAATAAAAGATTTAAAATGAAAAATAAAATACTAAAAATATCTCTTTATTTTTTATTTTTCATTTTATCCAACACGTGACATTATCTGATCGAATATTAGTCATGTCATCGACCTTATTTTGACAGTGTTAACTTCATGTACAGGATTACCATAAAAAAGGATAATATAGATATTATATAACATATTTTTAAAATATAGATAACACATTGAAAATTAAAAAAAAAAAAACTAAGGTTAGAATATGACATTAACCCTTTTCCTTTAAAGATATGTTAAATGAGTAAAAATGAACAGAAAAAAAAGGAAATGACACCCAGGATTCTTAAATTTTGGATTACCCTCAATCTTCAAAACATAATTTATTAATATATTTTTATAATTATAGGGAAACAATCCTTCCATTACTTTTACCGTTAATTTTGGTGTTGAGAATCAGCTATCACACGTGGCACCAGCTTATAATTTTGACAAAAAGCATACACATATTTTCTTATTTGAATAAATAAAAATTTTTTATGTAAAAATAAAATAAAATAAAACAAAACAAGTTACTAAGTAAAGGAAACCTATATATTATAACAAAATAACCAAAATAATTACACAAAAAATGAAAAAGTACCGATAAATGATTAGTTTAATCGGTTAAGATCATTTTTTTCAACGAAAATATCTGAGGTTCAAAATCATACCGGTAATCATTTGTTGAGATAATCTCGAATGCACGACTTACAATCACTTATCTTAAGTTATCAGGTACAATACATCTTATCCTGACTTGAAAGACTGAATAATTTATCTACTTTTAAATTTATCTTAAAAAAAAAACAAAAAAGCTAAAATAATACCACAAACAAACAAATCATAAAATTCTATAAGCACTTGATCCCAGTTATTAAGTGACTCCCTCTTTACTCTATCCCCGAACAACTTTTGGAAAACCAAAAAATTTGAACCGAATCACAGAAAGAATAACAACTTGTCTACAAAAAATAGGAAAAAAAATTATGTCAGATTAAAAAACCCCAAAACAAAAACGTAAATAAGACATACTCGCACCCCACCCTCTACGACTCAATAAAAAGAAAAAATTTAGATTAAGTTAATCAAATAAAATTCATAAAGTTTTTCATTAAAAATTATTAAATAAAAATAAAAGATAATATGTTGAAAGATTTTTTTTATATAGTTCAAGTATGTAAAATTTTAAAAATTTTAAAAAATTTAATATATTTTTTAGATAGACATTTTTAATAAAATTTTTGACAATTTTTACTATTAAATGAGTATTGATTAAATTTGAATTATTAACGATATTTTTAATAATTTTTTTTCATATTATTAATTTTTGTATTAAATTTTATAAATTTATTGATTTGAATTTTTTATTTAAATTTTTATTAAATTAATTTTAAGAAAAAATTTCACAAATTTTATTTAAAGAACTTCATTTAAGTTTTGTCCATCATAACACCTCATACACTCTAAACCACCAACCACTTTCTTCATTGTTGATGGTATTTTTGGTGTCTTAGGTGGAGGAAGTTGGTGTGAGGTTGTTGAAGGTTGTATGGCCTGAATTTGCAACCAAAAAGCATAGTTAGGGAACACCGGAATTGTTTTTCGTGGCGTACTCCGATGCTTAAGTTAATTGAATAAAAAGGAAAGGTAAAGAAAAAAGTGAGGTGTGTAAAATAAGCTTCAATGAAAAGATGATACTTAAGTGTGGAGTATAGGGATTGTCCTACATACTTGAGACTCGTTTTTACCTTATATATGAGGGTGGTAATTTAACTAAGATAGTTGACGATGGATGAAAAGTATACATAGAGTTTGAAAAGGGTCCACTTGATTGCATTTAAATTTTAATTTTTTCATAGTATAATTTGACTTATATCTCATTTTGTTTTTTGGCAAAAATACTCTTAATGCATACTATTCTTATGTGTATGTACAATTAAAGAATATTAGTCAATTTGGATATAGTGTGGAGATCTTTGGAGCAAATGCATGCAAATGGCCTTAATTAGTGTCAGTAGGTCACATTGACACTAAATGAGTTTTTTTTAACTTTTTTTGTCTGATTTTTTTTACTATTATTTTCATAGATTTCTTTTAGTAAATTGTGTGATAATCATTAAGTGTTGAAATTTTTTGCAGAAAAAAAAAGGAAGATGCAATAGACGTTGATGCAAAAAACGTGCATGGAATGCGTGGGAAGATTGAAGTAGCTTGCAAACTGCCTATGTTGGATTGGAGTGTACCAAATATGAAAGGGGCTGATGTGGCATACCGGAGGGATTTGATTGGCTATTGAGTTGACTTGGATGAAGCCAAAATTTGGTTGGAGGAGAGCCACGCACTAGGGAAAGAAACAGGACCAGGCGTGCACCAGCATCAGGCGTGCACCAGTGTCACGGACCTAAGGATGAGTCCTGAATCCCACATCGAACATAATAGGAGGGTCACTGGGGTATATAAGGGTTCACACCATCTCCGCCTTATAAGACGCCTTTTATAGGACAAAACCGTGAGGCCAGGGGGCCAGAGCGGACAATACCTCACAAGGGTGTGAACCGTAACGGTCAAACTGATTCGAGACGCCGAAAAGGTGAATGCCTGGGTCCCAGAGTCGCACGGATTCGGAGCTTGAGTCTCGACCCGTGACACCAACACTAGGCGAGCACTTGCAGGACCATGAAGTCTCTAGGTATTTTTAAGACTCAAGGTCCCTCCCCTCTGCCTATATGCCTATAAATAGGGGGAGAGGGCCGGCCATTAGGAGCGCTTAGCCTAAGTTTTAAATATATG